ATGAAGATGAAGATGAAGATGAAGATGAAGATGAAGATGAAGATGAAATTATATATGTATATAAGAAAATAAGTACATGTGTATGTATATCGCACATTTCTTTCTTTCTGGAATTTCCTCTATTAAGTTTCACTTCTTCCGCGCGTAGGGACTACACGCACTGAGTTTTTTTTATTTTTATTTTGTACGTTTTGCGAAATGTTTGTTAAGCGAGATTCCTCTTTATTTGGAGTCAACTTTTTTGTTCGGTTTTTGAACTAGATTCTGCTCCAACCTACAATCTTCGGCTCACGACGAAGTAGACTCCGAAGTTTGGTATAGAGGGGCGACCGTTTAAAAAAAAAAGAAGCCTTTTTGATATTGCTCGGATCAAGAATCGAACCTAGGTTATATCGGTTGGTAGTGTGCATCTCTAAACATTTGGCTATATGGACTGCCTTTGCTGACCATATATCGTCCCTATGGACTGCGTCTCGAAATCAATCCTAACGGGTCCCTTATGGCTCCATTCTGTATCAGTAGCAAACTTTTGTCACAGCTTTTTTTCCGAAATATATATGTAAAAGTTTAATTTTGTCAGGAAAAAAAATTAGGTGCTGAATCGTCTTTGTCTAAGAAAGATTCCACTATACTCTGCGCGGTCTTTTCAGAACACATTTCAGGCACCCAGTGCAAATACAAACCTATAAGTAATGGCTCAGACGCCCGTCAAGAAAAAAAAACGTATTTCACTTTTCATAAAATATTGCGGCCGGAAATTCTCAAGACAAAACGCTGATTCTGTCTACATAGAGCCTAGCTAGATTTCTATAACTGACAGTGCCAGAACAGGTATGCTTTATAGATTTCTTTTTTTTTAACAATTTTCTCACCCAGTAAAATCTGGACAAGCCCTAGCATACAAAAATTAATCAGATATAATCACTTCTTTCGCTGAATAGATTCTCTTAACAACGGTTATCGCTCGTAGTGCCTGGAATGGCATTACTAGGCTTGGGTAACCAGTTCAGGTGAGATAGATTTCCTCTAGCACATTTGCAAGACAGTATCTATCATGCGACCGCCTTAAAAGGGTAACCTTGATACGCATAGAATAGGTTGTTTTGAAAGACGTTTATAGTTTCAGGGCCACCAGGGTTCAGAATAATAGTCTCCATTTGAGATAATCACTTTTGGTGGAGGCAAGATCTCCTTAACCCATATCATCCCAAGCATGTTTAAACTCCTCGGATTCGCGTAAGACTCATAGAAGTTCACGTTAGTACCCTCCTGAACAACAGCATATATTGAAAACAAAACAGTTGTATTCAGGTTTTCGTTTTTAGTACCGTTCCAAAAATGGAACAATAGGAAGATATGCCTCTGTAATAACTATATTGTGTATGTAGTTTCAGATGATATAAAATAAAAGGTTCTTGTGTTTTTTGTTTATTTCTTTAATAAAAAAGTACTTATAGTAACACATACATATCTTATAATTTATATAAAAAAGTTAGATATGTATAAGATAAGATACAAATTCTTTACTTTGTATGAAAAACTGGAGAACATTTTTGGTGTAAAGCAGCGTTGCATTTTTCGCATTTCATGGTAGTATTTTTATGGCACATACCACAGCGGCTTTGTTTGTTATTTTTTATTATGTGATGTGCCTTGTCATCTAGTCTTATACTAGTTGAAACTCGTTTGATGACCGCCAGAGAAGATCTTGGCAACAAATTTTTCGTAGTCGAGGGTGAGGTTACTGGTATAGTTTTTGTCGAAACATACGATGTTACAATATATCTTCAGTTCAAAAACTTCTGTATCAAAAAAAAGTTCGAAAAACTGTAAAGGATTGTCAAGATCCCCTAGAAAATTAGGTGGCTCTGAGACCTTTTCTAGTTTCTCGGGAATATCTGTGTGCGTCCACTTTCTTTTTGTTAGGCATCTTTTTTTTAATGGAGGAGCTAACGTTGCGGATGTAGTGGGTGTTTCATTAGTTTCATCTACGACTGAGTCATTCAGAAGGTCTTCAACTGTGCCCAATTCATTATGAGATGCTACTGTTGCTCGAAATTCAGCTTCCGCTAATAGCTGGCATCTTGACAAATTGTTTATATTAGCAGATTCCTCATCGCCGCTATCTTCGTCGCTCTTATCGTTATTTTCCGGTGGCGTTATGTATATATCTGCGGACAATACATCGTCATCTTCTTCTAGTTGTGAAATAATTTCATTTAAGGACAATCTGAAACGATGCCAAATAAATAACTGAACAAAACTAAGTCCACTTCTGCATACATCTTACATAGGTATATTATCCTACTGTTCCAATAGTGGAACGGTATATATAGAAGAACAAAAAAATACACTAGCAAGTTAAATTTTTGTTTTGTTGTGCAATGATATTGTAAATAAACTTTCGACTTATAAAAATTAAGAATAATAATGTGGAATATCATAGCTATAAATAAAAATGACTTACATTTTGCGACGAAAGATTTTCTTGCCCAAAATTTCTGCAACGAGCACGAATTGAAACACAAACTAACTGCTACACCAAGATTTTAATACTAGAGTTTAAATGCCGACTCCTTCAGTGTTGTCACTACACAAAAAGAATTACGATGACATTCGCATAAAAACAAAATAAAATCGTAATAGCAACCTATCCAAAAATGGAACACTAGGATGATATGGGTTAACTGAGATAATTTTTAGCACTGGCTGCATTGCACCGTATTCTACAAAATCTCACGTGTTGTATCAAATCCTCTTACCTGCAAGTTTTTTATCTGATGAAGGTTTTCTTGTTTCCATCATGGCAAGTTTTGGCAAATGCCAACCATATAATAATAAACTATCAGGGCATTGGGTGATTTGTCCGAAGCTAAACTGATGTAGCTTACCAGAACTCATTAAAAATTTCCATTTCTGCCACTGGAGAGATTCTCACGAAAAAGGTGATATCTTTCAGTTCCCGGACGGGGTCGAGCACCCTACATTTTGACTTGGGCAACTGATTCTGGTGCTGGCATGATATTCCTGACAATGATTACTTTGTCACCACCAGGACAAACGCAAGCGATTGCAAAGTAAACTAACGGGGCGCTAGGTATGTATGTTTTCCAAACTTAGATAATCTTTTCTATTCTATATTTATTAATAAAGTTTTTTTTTCGCTGACGGTATTGTGCATTTTCTTTCACGTGAAGTGTGCTAAATTTCCTTTTTATATGGAAGAAAATGCCCAGCGTCAGCGTCAGAAAAAAAAGTTATTTAAAATCAACGCGATTTTCTAGCGTCTTGAAACTTGTACGTTATTTAAGGGGCTATAAAACTGCATACTTTATTTTTTTTTAAATTTTGACATCCTTCTAAAATAATATTAAACATCGAATAAGCAATTGAAATGTAGCCAAAACAGTTAAAAAAAAAAAAAGTTTATTATTTATTCCACCACAGTATATTTAAGTAGTTTCTTCCTTCTCTGTTATTATTTATAGTAAATGCTTTTAATTTTAACTGCTTGGTTAATACACAAACTCACCTGCTGTCGGTTGCGGCCTTCTACTTGTGGTGCTGCTGCTTTCCGCTTGCTGCCGTTTACTACTAGACTCCTTATTCATAGCAAACACATTTATTGTAAGGCTATCATATGTGGCTTGGGCAAAAAACCTATTTACGCTTCTTCTTCTTGCAATTGTTTCATGCACGCTTTCAATGATTTTTATTACACTTAGCAGCTTTTGTTCGCTAAAGCACTATTCACTATAATGTAGTACATCTGCTTGGAACACTACCAACACCACTTCTTTGTGGATGTGTGTGTTTTTTGTATAATGAAGTTTTACTTTTCAATTTGTTTTCTTTTAACCGACTTTCAAATCTTCACTTACATATACATATATATATATAGGACTGGCGCGCGCCAAGCATTGTTGACTTCACCACTGAGTGTGGGTAGAATTGCACGTAAATGCGAAGGCGAGGATTTTAAAGTTTTTCTCTTATATAATTTAATTTTGTGCTTTCCATTTTTTTGCCCAGAGATTTTGCTGCTGTGAAGTGGTTGTGGTTTCTGTTTCTGTTTTTTTTTTTTATTTTAGCCTACACACAAACTGTCTGCGGTTACCTAAAACGCATGCGAATTGTGGGCGACACTGGGTTACTCTGCTAAATATTTCACTATTTTCTGGCTTTTGTTGCTGTTTTTATTGTGTCTTGATGTACATTTTTAGCCTAGCTGTTTTTGTTAGTTTTGTTGAAAAATCGAAAACAATTAAATTTGTTATTAACACTGAACTTGTGCATCGTTGCGCAGACAAAAACACACGCACACACAATTACATTCCGGCACATGCACACGTTAAGGACACTCACGCGACCTCGCGGT